ACTGTCCACGGCGAGCCAGCCTCTCTCGGTGGCAGGTCCTACAGCTCGAGGCACCGCCCAGGGAAGGACACCCAATCCCCAGAGCAACCCCAGGGCCAGCAGTCAGCCTTGGCGGGCAGCCAGCCTGGGAGGGGTGCATGGTGGGAGGAAGGTGTCTGCAGTCCCCGCAGGCGAGCTGGCCTGCTGCACCTGGGCCAAGTCCTTCGGGAGCGGAGCAAGCCCAGACCCCCTCGCCCTCCGGGGGCCATGCTCCAGGGTCTGGAGGCCCACCCTTAACCTGCGGACCTTCCTTGGCAAACAACACGCCTTCCCATGGAGTGGTCTCAGTCCCCTCAGCACCCAGTGACACCCACCTGGCAGTACTGAGGGCCGGCCTCGAGGCCGCCCACGCCCAAGCCGGCTCCGGGTACTCACTCACCTTCTCGCCCTTCGTACCCTTCAGACCGCGGATGCCGTCTGCGCCCTGTGCAGGAGAGGGAGAGAGCACGCGGTCACAGCCTGGGCCTCCACGGAGCTCCGTCCTGCCACGGCTGGGCTCTAGGCGGCGGCCCACCTGCCCGCCCTCAGACAAGCTCCCCCTCCCAGGCTCTGCAAGAAGAGACCTGCCCCGGGCAGGGGTGTCTGTTGAACTCGCACCAACCCTGCCTTGGCCTACGGGAGCCCAGAGTGTCCCCAAGTCCTAGACAGGCCACGCCGACCCTCCGCCTCTAGGCCGAAGACCCAAACCCTTCCTGGCCCCCCGTTTCCCGCTAACCCCCAGCCCTCCTCTAGAAGCACACCCTCCTCTAGAAGCGCCCCCTCTTGGTGTCTGGGTCAGGCACACTTGTCTAGAAAACGGGGACCACGGCCCTGACTTACTGCTGCAGGAGGGGAGCGCACCGCCAGCTCCGTACACGGCGGACTCCGCCCTCTGTTACAAGCCTGCTGCCGTCAGCGTGTGTGGCACACTGTTCTGACGGTGGCAGGGACCACGGCAGCTTCATGTCCATTTAGGACCAACCATGTCATGGCCTGTTCAGCCAGAGCATGGGGACACGGGCCATGCCCACTTCCTGCCGCTCTGGGTGCACGTGCCCCGAGGCCAGAGAGCGTGAAACCATGGGACGGAGTCACACAGCCACACCCTCAGTTAATGCCCTTCGGCCTCTGACCTCTAAGCGGGTGACTTCTAGCTACAAAGACTGACCGCTGACTCCAGAGGATCCCTCAGGCCCTGACCCTGGACCCCAGAGAAAGGCCATGCCTCCAACTGGGCTCCAAGCTGAGGACCTGGGGCTGCCTGCTGCCCTCTTGTGGCCACAGCTGTGCACAGACTGAAGTTCCGAGCCTTTCTGGGGCCCTGCAGGCAATGAGGAGGGTCGGGGTCTGGGAATGAGGGCTCAGGTCAAGGCACAGCAAACGCATCTCTGGAAGCACCTCCAGCTCCATCAACCCAGCTGCGAGGTGCTGGGGGCAACCTAGAGGAGAGGGCACAGTCATTCTGAGACTGGATGGCCCGGGGACACGGGCAAGCCCAGCCACGCAGGCTCTGCAGCGCCGCCCGCTTGGCGCCCCAGCCCTCTACTGACAGAGGCCCGCCACCTGGATCCACAGCCCTGCTGGCAGAGTCAGACATGGTGGCGGGGCGGCTCAGGCCTGTGCGTGCCCGTCCAGCCTGATGCTAGAGTACTGATGGGGTTGGCTCTGCAGGTGCCTGTCGTCACTCAGCACCAGGACCTCTGGGCACAGAAGGGTAGCCGCAGAGGCCTTGAGCTCAGAAAGGATGGGAAGCAGGCACAGGCAGTAAGGAGGAGGGCACCACGGTCAGCGGTCAGCCTGGCACCCGGCACCGCCTACGGACGTTAGGGGCTTGAGCACATGAGGCCCCAAGCACTGGCTATGCAGCTACACTGTTGCACCTGCAGCAGGGCTCCAGGCACTGCAGTCTGCTCTTTTCCAGCAGGACGCCCCCTCCAAAGCAGCCCTGCAGGAAGCTCCCGGGCAGCTCAGGAGCCAGGGCTCGGAGACAGCGCTGGAACTCGGCACAGGAGGACTAGCAGCTAAGGTGCTTTCCCTGGGACTCCGGATTCTCCCCACACTTGGGAAATAGCACAGCGATTCTCACTTCCGTGGGCCTCTTCAAAGGTCACCTGAGAATTGCAGGAGTGCGGGAGCGGACCCGGTCCTGGAAACAGGAAAGGCCCGGGGATAGGAACAGCCTGGGTATGGGAACGGCCCGGGGATAGAAATGGCCTAGGAACAGCCCTGGAGCAGGAACAGGCCCGAGAACAGGACGGCCCGGTTTAGCCGCAGCGCTGTGCGCCCCAGTGCAGGGCGGGCAGGTGCCAGGCCCTCTCCAGCTGTGGTCAGGAGACAGGTCTGCATGGCTGGCCTGCCTCTGCTGTAGCTGAACTCTCTTACAGCGCAGGACACAGGCACCAGCCTCTTCCCTCTCTCCGTGTGGGCTAGGGGGACAGTTCCTTGGTCAGGTTCTTCCGGTGACAAGAGGGTCACACCCGAGGATGGCTGAGCTCCCTCCCAGGATTGCAGAACCGCCGTGTTAGGGCCCGTGAGAGGGCAATGGGACCTATGGACCAGGCCGGGCTTTCCTGGCAGAGCTGCGGTTTGGGGCGGGCTGCGCTTGGCCACAGGGCCTGGCGTGTGCGCTGCGTGTGGTCAGAGCACCTGCGGCTTCTGGCTTCTAGAACATCGGAGGAGAGCGAGCCTTGGCCCTGGGGCCCGCACCAGGTAGGAAGGACAAGGGCTCATGGAGCAGGTGGGAGGGGGCCCCTGTGCTGCCTGCTGACCATGAGGCAGCCCCGAGGGGGACAGAGTTCTGCCCATGCCTGCGGGCGAAATGAGGAGGGAGGAGTGCTGGCATTTGAGGCCACACAGACCCCCAAAAGGGGAGACAGGCCGAGGAAGCCCACAGGGAAGCTCAGGTGGGGAACCGGAAGGCCCGCAAAGGGACCCCCTGTGTGGCAGCGCGTCTCAGTTCCTGTGACGAAACCCACCAGCCAGCGCAGGACCATCAAGGGCAGACAGTGGGGCGAGACTGGCCGCGGGGTGGGGCCCCCACGGGTGAGATCAGCGCCCCGTCAGAGGCCCAAGGGTGCTTGTCTGCCCTCTACCAGCCCTGCCCCTCCAGGCTACTTCCACCTAAGGCACCTGACACCTTCGCATTCGCATTCCCAGGCAGGGACTGTGAGAATCTGGCTCTCCATTGACAACTGTTTAAAACCCTGGTTTTCCTTCCAGCTTCCAGGACTGCTCAAGGCAGACAAGATAAGAGCATCCCATCACCATTTCAAAGCCAGCGGTTTGGCTCCTGAAAGCAGCATTATGCAATTAGCCACTTGGCTGGCAGGCTTTGGCTCTGGCTAGAATTTGTAAAATAAATAGGCGTGGAGCTCACTAATCAGCATTTCTGCTCAGTTATCACCCTTAGAAAACTCCCCAGGTGTTTGGCTGGTGACAGCATGCTTCAGGGAGAAAGCCCACCTGCCTCAGGCTGCCGACCACTGGGAGGTCTCTCCTCAGGCTCTGGGAAGTGGAACTGTGGCCACTGGGGAGGGGTGTGGCTCCTGAGTAGCTATCAGAAGTCTGGGCTGGAGTCCTGACTGGGCTGTCAATTTTTAAAGTTACATTTTGCTACAAGCCATGTGCACACATCAGAGAGAGACAGAAAGTGAGAAGGCACCCCCGGGGGGGATGCGTCCACAGGCCCTCTCAGGATTTGGGGCGTGCATGTGCGTGCCCAGTGTGTTTCTCAAGCCATCAGGTCTGGGACTCTAACTGTGCTGCTGTCCGTGCGATCTAGCTGCCGTAGCCACCTCGCCACCTGGCTTGGCTACCCACTTTAGTGTCATCTGGGGGCAAGTCCCTGAAGACGGAGGTCTACTCCCCCTCCTCCAGGTCCCATGGCAGCCGCACACCCCGCTGTGCGCGTGGCTTGCCGCCTGTCTACAACGCCTGGAGCCGAACCACTCATTTACCCCTCCTTGCTGTGCATCAGCTGCCCTTCTAGAGGGGTACAGGCACCACTGGCTGTTTATGGCTGGGAAGTCTGAAGCTTTAAGATGCAGGAAACGAGTGTGTCCACATGCATTGCTGGAGGCTCATCTCTGTGTGCATGTATGCACATGCGCACACACACGCACACGCCGGGGCCCAGGGAGCAGCCGGTTCAGATGGAATTAAGGGCTCCAAGCAAACACGTGAGCTTTGATGGGACAGAGGGGACCTGTGTCTGGATATGTTCTAGAACTCTCCCTGTCTCGCACGCGGTCCCCACAGCCTCTCGCAGACAGGAACACGCCGCGAGTGAGTGGACACTGCCCGCCAGCTCCGGGCCTCAGCAGCGCTGGGCCGCCCAGGTGCCATCGACCCCTCTACCATGAGAACAGCTCGGAGGAAGAGGCCAGCTCTTCGCCCCAAGCTCTGCTGACTGTGAGAGGCTCCCAGGACTGCAGAGCCTGGTGACGGCCACGCTGAGTGGAGCCAGAGGTGAGAGGTGGCACTCCTGCCACCACCGTGTCCCTGCTTTGTCATGGCCAACAGGAGAGCTTCCTGCCTTGGACCAGCCCTCGGCGACTCTGGCGGCCCGGGTCCTGAGGTCCCGCAAGCGGCTGGGAGGGCCAGCCTACGCCCGTTTGGGCTGGACGAAGGTGTGGCCACAGAGGAACCCTCGAAAACCAGTGGAGGCCTGCCCTATAGTCCCACACCCGGCTACAGCAGACCGGGAGCTGCAAGAATCTCCTACCTTGACTCCTCGAGGGCCTGGGTAGCCGAGTGGACCCTGGGGGCCGGGTGGACCCTACGACCAAAGAGAAAAGAACACGAGCTGCGTCTCAGTCGGTGGCACCTGGCTAAGTCCAGTTAGCTCCTGGGTCCTTCCGGCACCCGAGGGGCTTACATCCACCCGCCTGTGCCGCCGTCGTGAGCTGAGCACCCCAGGTCAGACGTGCGCGGCTGCCCGCAGGGATCCCCAGGCGCCATGCGTGGCCTGGCTGGCGCTGGGGCCTGCCACGTCTCATCCGCAGGAAGCCAGCCAAAGCGCTGGGTCTGTTCCCACAGTGGTCCAGGAAGTGTGTGTGTGGGGGGAATCCCACAGTCTGGGAAGTGTGTGTGTGTGTGTGTGTGTGTGGTGAGGGAATCCCACAGTCTGGGAAGTGTGTGTGTGTGGTGAGGGAATCCCATGGTCCGGGAAATGTGTGTGTGTGTGGGGAAATCCTATGGTCCAGGAAGTGTGTGTGTGTGTGTGTGTGTGTGTGTGTGTGTGCGGGTCCTGGCGTCCGTTTTTTGGGTGGGGGACTCCTGCAGTCAGGAAGTGTGTGTGTGTGTGTGTCTGTGTGTGTGTGTGTGTCTGTGTGGCGGGGGACTCCTGCAGTCAGGAAGTGTGTGTGTGTGTGTGTCTGTGTGTGTGTGTGTGTCTGTGTGGCGGGGGACTCCTGCAGTCAGGAAGTGTGTGTGTGTGTGTGTCTGTGTGTGTGTGTGTGTCTGTGTGGCGGGGGACTCCTGCAGTCAGGAAGTGTGTGTGTGTGTGTGTCTGTGTGTGTGTGTGTGTCTGTGTGGCGGGGGACTCCTGCAGTCAGGAAGTGTGTGTGTGTGTGTGTCTGTGTGTGTGTGTGTGTCTGTGTGGCGGGGGACTCCTGCAGTCAGGAAGTGTGTGTGTGTGTGTGTCTGTGTGTGTGTGTGTGTCTGTGTGGCGGGGGACTCCTGCAGTCAGGAAGTGTGTGTGTGTGTGTGTCTGTGTGTGTGTGTGTGTCTGTGTGGCGGGGGACTCCTGCAGTCAGGAAGTGTGTGTGTGTGTGTGTCTGTGTGTGTGTGTGTGTCTGTGTGGCGGGGGACTCCTGCAGTCAGGAAGTGTGTGTGTGTGTGTGTCTGTGTGTGTGTGTGTGTCTGTGTGGCGGGGGACTCCTGCAGTCAGGAAGTGTGTGTGTGTGTGTGTCTGTGTGTGTGTGTGTGTCTGTGTGGCGGGGGACTCCTGCAGTCAGGAAGTGTGTGTGTGTGTGTGTCTGTGTGTGTGTGTGTGTCTGTGTGGCGGGGGACTCCTGCAGTCAGGAAGTGTGTGTGTGTGTGTGTCTGTGTGTGTGTGTGTGTCTGTGTGGCGGGGGACTCCTGCAGTCAGGAAGTGTGTGTGTGTGTGTGTCTGTGTGTCTGTGTGGCGGGGGGACTCCTGCTGTCCAGGAAATGGAGAGGGAGGCCTGGACGTGGGGACTGGAAGGACACCACTGCCTCTAAGGGTGCATCCCCAGCTGAGGGACCTGGGAATAAACTCAGAGCGCTGCTGCATGGGAGCAGGGGCGGGCTCGTGGTCCAGGAAGGGGTCACCGGAGCAGAGCCTCCAAGCACCCACGAGCCCTCAGCCCCACCCGGCAGCCCCGAGCAGGGTGCCTGGGCAGTCCCCGACACCCGTCCTTCACAGCGCTCCCGGCAACGGCTGCCAGCACTCTGCACAGGATCAGCCTGGTGGGCCCCTCGGTGAGGGCACAGCTCCAGAGGCCTCGCCCACTGGCATAACCCATCACCGGCAGGACACCTGGCACACCCTGGAGCTCGGGAATCCTGAGCAGGGGCGGCCCTGTGGCCTCCTGGGAGCCAGATTCCATAGGGCTGACCACGGTTTGAATCTCACCCCAGCGGCCTAAAAAACAGTGCTCGTGCATACATGCCCAAGATCCCATCAGGAGGGAGGGAGAGGGAGGGGATTGTGGCGTGACCATGCCCGGAGGGAGTGCTTCCTCACAGTCTCTGTCTCTGGTGAGCACATATCCCCTCAGGCAATTTAAAAAAGGAAGGAAGGAAGGAAGGAAGGAAGAAAAGCCAGGGAAAGCCTGCACGAGGTGAAGGCCTCGTCCGGCCAAAGCCGGCTCTCAGGCGGCCAGCATGCTCAGCGGGCTCCAAGCCCTCTCTGACTGGCCAGGGGGTCTGTGGTCACGTGCACAGGCGGGAAGGCTCCGAGCAGCTTCTGCCCAGGCAGCACACGACCCCCGGGCCTGAGGCTGCCGGAAGCTCCCCTGGCTGGGGCAGGCCACCTGGGTCGGGACCCAGAGAACATTGAAGTCCAAGGTGCTGTGTGGCTGCCTTCGCCCCACCTATACCGCACGGGTGTATACCGGAGTGTGGGGTGGGGCTGCGCCCACCCAGAGGGGGTCCCCTGCGGCGGAAGGGGGAGGACCCAGTGTCCCGGGGAAAGTCCCAGACCTGCAGGGACAGACGCCGGGCCGCTCCTTTCCAAGCAGTCCCAGGGCAGACTGAGCCCCAGGCAGGCCCTGAGAGCCGAGCCCGAGGTCCCGGAAGGCTGGCGAGCACTCACCTGGCTCCCTTTCTCTCCAGGAGGGCCTTCTTTCCCGGGATGCCCCTGTCACAAAGAAGGAGGTTTGTCAGTCAGCGGCCCCCTTGGAGCACAGCCTCAGCCCTCAGTGTCCCCCCAGGCACTGGCGCGGTATGGCACAGGGTGGCCCTGACCGCCGAAGTCCCCACGTCTCCACTCCTCCCTGGGAAGGGAGAGCACGGGCAGTTAGGGCAGCTGCATGGCCGAGGCTGGTCACCACACCCCGGCTGCTTGGTCTGCACATGGGAAGAAGTAATGGAGGCGAGGCCCTCAGAACTGACCGCTGAGGGGGGTATGAGGAAGTGTGTGTGTGTGTGTGTGTGTGTGTGTGTGTGTGTCTGTGTGTCTGTGTGGCGGGGGGACTCCTGCTGTCCAGGAAATGGAGAGGGAGGCCTGGACGTGGGGACTGGAAGGACACCACTGCCTCTAAGGGTGCATCCCCAGCTGAGGGACCTGGGAATAAACTCAGAGCGCTGCTGCATGGGAGCAGGGGCGGGCTCGTGGTCCAGGAAGGGGTCACCGGAGCAGAGCCTCCAAGCACCCACGAGCCCTCAGCCCCACCCGGCAGCCCCGAGCAGGGTGCCTGGGCAGTCCCCGACACCCGTCCTTCACAGCGCTCCCGGCAACGGCTGCCAGCACTCTGCACAGGATCAGCCTGGTGGGCCCCTCGGTGAGGGCACAGCTCCAGAGGCCTCGCCCACTGGCATAACCCATCACCGGCAGGACACCTGGCACACCCTGGAGCTCGGGAATCCTGAGCAGGGGCGGCCCTGTGGCCTCCTGGGAGCCAGATTCCATAGGGCTGACCACGGTTTGAATCTCACCCCAGCGGCCTAAAAAACAGTGCTCGTGCATACATGCCCAAGATCCCATCAGGAGGGAGGGAGAGGGAGGGGATTGTGGCGTGACCATGCCCGGAGGGAGTGCTTCCTCACAGTCTCTGTCTCTGGTGAGCACATATCCCCTCAGGCAATTTAAAAAAGGAAGGAAGGAAGGAAGGAAGGAAGAAAAGCCAGGGAAAGCCTGCACGAGGTGAAGGCCTCGTCCGGCCAAAGCCGGCTCTCAGGCGGCCAGCATGCTCAGCGGGCTCCAAGCCAGCAGCTGAGCCGTACGGGCCGTGGGGCCCGGGAGCTGCCGGCTCTCTGACTGGCCAGGGAGTCTGTGGTCACGTGCACAGGCGGGAAGGCTCCGAGCAGCTTCTGCCCAGGCAGCACACGACCCCCGGGCCTGAGGCTGCCGGAAGCTCCCCTGGCTGGGGCAGGCCACCTGGGTCGGGACCCAGAGAACATTGAAGTCCAAGGTGCTGTGTGGCTGCCTTCGCCCCACCTATACCGCACGGGTGTATACCGGAGTGTGGGGTGGGGCTGCGCCCACCCAGAGGGGGTCCCCTGCGGCGGAAGGGGGAGGACCCAGTGTCCCGGGGAAAGTCCCAGACCTGCAGGGACAGACGCCGGGCCGCTCCTTTCCAAGCAGTCCCAGGGCAGACTGAGCCCCAGGCAGGCCCTGAGAGCCGAGCCCGAGGTCCCGGAAGGCTGGCGAGCACTCACCTGGCTCCCTTTCTCTCCAGGAGGGCCTTCTTTCCCGGGATGCCCCTGTCACAAAGAAGGAGGTTTGTCAGTCAGCGGCCCCCTTGGAGCACAGCCTCAGCCCTCAGTGTCCCCCCAGGCACTGGCGCGGTATGGCACAGGGTGGCCCTGACCGCCGAAGTCCCCACGTCTCCACTCCTCCCTGGGAAGGGAGAGCACGGGCAGTCAGGGCAGCTGCATGGCCGAGGCTGGTCACCACACCCCGGCTGCTTGGTCTGCACATGGGAAGAAGTAATGGAGGCGAGGCCCTCAGAACTGACCGCTGAGGGGGGTATTTCAGAGCCCACGAATGCGGGTGGCTCCCGGCTCAGCAGGAGCCCGGCTCTGCCCCAGTGCGGGTTCCACAGACCACAGAAGCAAGTGGGGGAGGGGGGAGGGGCGGCCAAGCACTTGCTCAAGGTCACCCTGCAAAATCATTCTGTGGAATAAGGAGCCGTGACCAGACTGAAGCCACCGGTGTGTCCTGAACTAGCGGTCACTGTGCTGGCTGCAAAATCCAGAATCCCTGCTGTCAGGAAGGAAGACGGGCAGGTGCCAGGCGCAGGCCTGGACTTGAGCTTGACTTGGGAGTCCTAGCACACCCAGGTCTTCAGGCAGGCACCTCTAGCCAAGCCAGGGTCTCCGTACCGTTTCACCGGCTGGGAGACGGGTGAAGGTGTGGACCTGCAGCAGGTGCCAGCTGAGGCCTAGGACGTGCTCGCGTGCCCTGGCCCCTAGCTGTCCACCTGGCCTGGACTGACGGCTGCTCAGGAGGGTCCCAGGCTGGTCACCAGGTCCCACGACTGAAGCTAATTACCATGAGCCTAACGCAGTGGCTGGATGCAGACAGGGCCACGTCCCCTGGGTACAAACGCAGCCCCGCCACCAAGGGCTCCGGGGGAGGTCGTGCAGGTGGTGAGAAGGCCGGCAGGGCCAGGGCCGACTCTGCCCGACACACCCGCCCACTCCGACCTGGACCTCGGGAGAGCCGCCGCCTGGTCTGGTCCCGCCTGCGGAGTGCACGACATGACGGCAGGCGCCGCTCCTTCACCCCAAGTGCACGAGGATCTGGGACTCAGCTCTGGACGGCAGCACGGTGAGACCCAAGTCCCCTCTCTTCCTAAGTGACTTGCGTGGGCTCCTTCTCCACGCTTGCTAGGTCACGTCCTTGTAAACAGCCTCGCAGGACAGCACAGTGAGGGTGGAAATTTCCTCTGCAGAGAGTGGGAGGGGGGGCTGGGAGGCAGAGGCTGAGGAAACCCCACACTGGCAGGATCACACTCACTACTGCTGCTTGAAGGGACACATGTGCCCACCACACCGCCTCCCACACACCAGGCTCATGGTGCCTGCCCCTCATGGCAGCAAGGTGGCCCAAACGGCACCAAGGACAGGGCACCCTGCCAAGTGTTCCAGGGCTCATGGGCCCAGGCACTCTGCTTCCCTGGGCAGTCGGGTGCCAGGTTCTGGAGTGGCATGCAGGGCACCCCCGGGCGAAGCCAGCTGCCCCTGCATGTCGATTTATTTCCTCGGTTACCTGGGCAGAGCATGGACACCTGCACTGCGGAGTGGCTACCGAGAGCCAGAGCACTCGTGAAGTACGGAGCCCGCACCCGAGAACGACCACTCCCACCTCGTGGGCGTCGTCCCGAGGCCAAGTTTCTTGACGCGCATTTTAATTTCTAGCTATAAAATGAGACATGTGAACTGGGCAAGGGCGCAGAGCTTGCGTGTTAGGGCTGACAGGACACGTGACTGCCCAGCGCCACGCAGGACCGCAGCCACCCCCGCTCTTCTTCTTCGCATTCTCCCAGAACTCTAGAATGAGCATTGCCTTTACAATGGAAAATAATAAAGCTTAAATTATTTGCATTTGATACTTTTCTGATTAAAAAAGTAATACATGTTCATTGCAGGCAATCAGGCAAGTGGCAGGGGAAGTGAAAGCCCTTTGTAACCACCGTGTGGAGCAGCTGCGGCTAGCGCACCGGAGCCCTCGGCTCTAGCTTCTCTGCACGCCGCAGGAAGGTGGCCTCGGCGCGGGCGTCTCTAACCCGTCCTGTGCCACGAGCTTGCCTCACGTCACTGCACATCAGGCTGCATTCGGTTTCCCCTGCCTCAGTATACTCTGTGGAGCCGCGACTCCTCTCACCAGTCCCTGGGGTGCACACCCGGAGGCACTTCACTGCATCGGGTCCGACACTGCGTATTTCTTGATGGGCTTTATGTTAACCTTCCCTTCTCCAAAGCTACAACCAAAACCAAACCAAACACAAGCAGAGAAACCCTGTCTTTAAGGTTAATCAACCATGGACTGCACTTGTAAAGGAGAACACCTTTAAATCCTTTTTCCCAGGACCAGCAAGCAGCGTAATGGCTATGTCGCTGGACACCCATATAGTCAACCGCGGTACAAGTCCCAGCCCCAGTGGCTTAAACTCACGCCGGGCACATATGTGTGCGTGCCCAAGATCCTGAGAAGAGAATAGAGGAGAAGGGATTGCGGCAAGGCCATCCCCCCAGGAGTGGGGGAAGGGTGATTTCTCGCTTTCTGTCTCTGTATCTCTCTTTCTAGTGAGCACACGTGCCCTATAGCAAAAGCATCTCAAATAAATAAATAAATAAATCCTTTTGCCCTCCAGAGGCACATGAGATGGTGGGCCTGCCTGTGTGGGCCTCCAAGGTGCCCGCGAGCACAGCCAGGTGCAGGCGAGGCTCACGGCACGCCCCCGCGCCACAGCCACAGCCTGGTCAGTGCACCGCTGTGCATGTTTCGGAAAACCATGCTGGACTCCACGGACACCTACAACTGCCACATGTAAGTCAGAGACTGCAGTAGACGGTACAAAGTGACGCAGAAGTCCAACTGCAGACGCGTAGCTGAGGACGAGCTCGAGCGTCTAGGAGTGCACGTGCGTCTCTGAGGGCCAGGAGCGCGCCTCTGAGGGCCAGGAGCGCGCCTCTGAGGGCCAGGAGCGCGCCTCTGAGGGCCAGGAGCGCGTCTCTGAGGGCCAGGAGTGCGTCTGACACCTCTTCCCCCCAGAATATGAAAGGACACAGGTGAGGCTTCAGGGGTCCTAATTCACTGAAGGTTCTGACACAGGGCAGAGGCCTCAGGTCAGTGGAGGGCCCAGAGAGAATGTTCTAGGCAGGGAGAGGAGGGCCAGCCCCCACACCCAGGCAGGGTCTCCTCCCGCAGCGAATGCTCTGTGTGCAGGAGACACGAAGGGACTTTGGAAAGTCTGTGGGAAGCTGGGGTTATCGTACGAGTTTATTTTGGTGCAAAAAAGCATGGACATCCGGGAACCAGCAGTTAGCATAATGGCTATGTCACTGGACTCCCACGTAGTCGACTGCGGTTCGCATCCCGGACCCGGTGGCTTAAAACTCACGCCGGGCGCGTGTGCGTGCGTGCCCAAGATCCCGAGAGGAGAATGGAGGAGAAGGGATTGCGGCGTGACCATCCCCCCTGGGGGGTGATTTCTCGCTTTCTGTCTCTAATGTCTCTGGCTGGCTGGCGAGCGCACATGCCCTATAGTGAAAATCTCTCCAAAAAAAAAAAAAAAAAAAAGCATGGACATCCATACATAGCTCTTCCATGACACACGGTGTCCAGGACCTTGAAGACCCCTCCTACATGGACCTGTTACTGGGGGCGTCCCACCGAGATGCGGGCAGGGCTTCATTTCGTCGGCATTTATGTTTTTCTAACTTCCTCTAAGAGTGTGCTAGTTTTGTGATTGGAAAACGCAAATTAAATTAAAGGGCACCCACGGCAGGCAGGAAGGACGAATCCCTGGGACCCTGGGCAGTGTCCCCACTGCTCGTTCAGGCCGGGAGCAGGCACTCCACCTACGGGCCCCGGCGAGTCGGAGCCACGGAGTGGGGACAGACAGCTGCAGGGAAGCCTTCGTGGATGCACTGCCAACACATCGCGCCCCCTTGCTGAGTTTCCAGTGGCGTTATTAGACAAGACACACCACGTCCTAGATAGCACGTGTCGCTAATCTTGCGCTCTGAACTAGACTCCCTTTTAACAGCATATAATACGCTCTTAAAAACCACCCCGAGGCGAGTTACAGAGGGTGGCGGGTGCGGAGCAGCCCACACAGGCTCCCGAGCCCAGCACGCCGCGGAGCAGTCCGTGCCCCCACGGCTCCCTCACGCTGGATCTGTCACTCACGTGCTATTTGCAGGCGGCATCTGATATGCCCAGAGCTGTGTGCTCACATCACGGAGGCGGTGGTCCGCCACCCCCTTCTCAGTGCATGAACACTAAAAATACGCGGCACCCTGCCCCTCCGCCGCTGACAGCGCAAGGGCTCCGCTAGTTCAGGACAGGAACCGGGCCAGGCACTGAGCAGCACCCCGTGGCCCCCTCGTGCAGCCGCCACCCTGACTGGGACACGTTGAGTGCAGCCAGAACCTGAGAATCGCGCGCATGCACACTGGACTCCAGGTAGAGTCGGGGGACCGGGACGACGACCCCAGCATCCCAAGTGCCTGGCTCGCAGCCCCTGTCCCGGGTAGGGCTGGGAGGGCTGAAGGGGCAGGATTACTCACCGGGGGTCCGTCGGCACCGGGCAT